TGATTTTTTGATTTATTGTAGAGATGAGGTCTCGCTGCCCAGGCAGGTCTCGAACCTGCGGGCTCAGGCAGTCCACTCACCTCAGCCTCCCAAAGGCGTGGGATTACAGGCTGCCACCAAGCCCGGCTTCCTAATACTATTATGTGCATGGTTTTTTCATTTAAATCTTTGGAATTTATTCTTGTGTATGAAATCGTTTGAGTGTTTGTGTACTATTTATCTCATTCCATTGATCGATCTACAGTGAGCTAGTACATACTTTTAATTAATAAGTTTTAAGTTATATTTAAGATTATTTAAGGCTAATTTCACTTTCATTGTTCTTTTTTATCTTCCTGTTCTCACTTTTCTTGTTTTTTTGTTTCTTTGTTTGTTTTTGGTTTTTTTTTTTAGTTGGAGTCTTGCTCCATTGTCCAGGCTGGAGTACAGTGGCACACTCATGGCCACCGCAGCATTGGCCTGCTGGGCTCAGGCAATCCTTCCACCTCAGTCTTTCGAGTAGCTGGAACTCAGGTGCTCACTATCACGCCCAGTTATTTTTTTTTTATTGTGGAGATTTTTTTTTTTATTGTGGAGATTGTGGAGATAAGGTCTCACCAAGTTGTCCAGGCTATTCTTGAACCCGTGGGCTGAGGTAATGCCCTCGCCTCAACCTCCCAAAGTGCTGGGATTACAGGCTTGAGCCACTGCACCCAGCCTTTTTTTTTTTTTTAATGTGAATTTAGGATTTCTTAAAATTGACTCCCTCTTTCCCCCTTTTTCCCCCACCCCCCCAAAAAAGATCAGTTGGCACTTTATTGGGTTGTTAAGTTTGTTAATTACCGTAGAGAAAATCAACATTGTGGTCCTCCTGTCAAGAAAAACATGATGAGCCATTCTTTTTTATCTAGTTGTAGAATTTGGGAGCTTCCTCCAAATAGGTTTTACTCACTTATTAGTAAGCTTATGCCTAAATATACAGTTATCGTTTGAACAACACAACTGCACAGTTCCACTTACACACAGATTTTTTTCAATAAATATAATTTAAAATCTTTGGAGCTTTGCAACCAGTTAACATAGTATGTTATGTATCAGTTATCTATGAAGTTTTTAATGTAGTTTGTCTATTGCTTAGTAATTTTTATTCACTTGATTGAGATGTGTCAAAGCTTCTTTCTACTAGTGTGTTTCCATTTATTTCTTCTTATATTTTAAGTAATTTTAATCTAATGAATATTGATCCCAAGTTATTTGGTGCATAGGTACTCACAAGTATAATATCTTTGTGACAAATTACACTTTATAGCATTATAAAATGCCATTGTTTTAGTCTTGGTTAGTATTTTTTGACTAAATTTCATCTTAACTTTTTGTTTGTGTTTGCCCAATGTGCATTGGCTCATCCTTCTGTTTTCATTTTTTTTAAATATTTTGTTTCAGTTGTGTTTCTGACATGGTTTGTGATTCAATCTGAAATTTCTGTATTTAAATAACTAGTTTAGTTTATTTACAAAGATTTGATATGTCATATCACTAATATATATGGTTGAATTTAGTTGTCATTTTTATATTATTGTTTCTTTTGCTGTGTTGATTTTGTTGTTTTGCTTTGCCTTTTTTAAACTAATTGACTCTTTTGTGAGCAGTTTTAAGTTTACCAAAAAAATTTTTTTTTTAAAGTTCACCCAAAAATTACAGTTACCATATACCCCTCACTCCCTACCTCCACCAGTTTCCCATTTTTAATATTATTTTTTTCTTTTATCTTTTACTTCTAGCAAGTTGTGATCTCTAAACGTCTTGCATTAGAGTGGTATACTTGTTACAGCGGATGAGCCAATGCTGACACATTATTAATTCAAAATTCATAGTTGACATTAGGGTTGTCTCTTTGCGCTGTGCATCCTGTGGATTTTGACGAGTGGAGAATGGCCAGTTTCAGTGCCTGTTCCTGTGGGGCTGTGTGATCTTCTTTGTGCTTCCCCTGTTCATCCTGTCCTCTCTTATCTGCCCCACAACCCCTGGCAGCCACTGGTCTTTCTGTTGTCTCCATAGTTTTGTCTCTTCAGATTGGCATCTTTCGCTTGGCAGGATGCTCTGTGTCTTCTCATGGCTTGACAGCTCATTTCTTAGCACTGAATAATTCTTTGTTAGGATGAACCGCAGTTTGCTAATTGGCCTATGAAGAATATCTTGGTTGCTTCCGAGTTTTTGCAGTTAGGAATAGACTGCTGTAAATCACACATGTACAGGCTTTTGTATGGATGTAAGATTTCAGCTCATTTGAGTAAATACCACAGAGTTGCAATTGCTGGAAAGAGCGTGTTTGGTTCTGCAGTTTCTGTAAGAAACTGCCAAACTCTCTTCCAAAGTGGTGGCACCATTTTGCATTCCCAGGCTTGAGAGTTTATGTTGCTCATCTTCTCCAGCCCTTGCCGTCGTTAGTATTCTAGATTTTGGCCACTCCAATAGGTGTGTTGTGGTATCTGATCTCTTTTTTTTGAGTCGGAGTCTCACTCTGTCGCCTAGGCTGGAGTGCAGTGGCATGTTCACGGCCACTCCAGTGTCAACCTGTTGGGCTCTGGCGATTCTTTCACCTCAGCCTTCCAAGTACCGGAACTACAGGCACGCGCTAAAGTGCCCGGCTAATTTTTGATTTATTGTAGAGACGAGGTCTCACCAAGTTGCCCGAGCTGGTCTCGAACCCGCAGTCTCAGGCAGTCTACTCGCCTCAGCCCTCCAAAGTGCTGGGAGTACAGGCTGAGCCACCAAGCCTGGCCTAATATCTTTTTTTACAGGGTTCTTTGTGTATTTTGGATACCAGTTCTTTATCTGAAGTGTTTTGTCATTGATGAAGTAAACGATATGTTTTTTCCTGGCTTTTGAAATTTTCTTTTTTATCTTAAAATCTAACTTTAAAGGCTATTTCCTACTGTTGACAATTTATGGTCAATTAACATGGCACATGGTGTTTCCTTTCAATATGTAGACTCAGATTTTGTTCCAAGAATTTTCTTGAAATTTAGCATTGCCTGTTGATTTTTTTTTTTATAGAAACTCCAGTTATACGTATATTGAATTATCTGTGCTTGTCTTTTGTGTCTTTCATTCTTGTTTTTGTTTTGTTTTATTTTTTGAGTTGGAGTCTCACTCTTGTCACCCAGGCTGGATGGAGTGCAATGGCATGCTCACAGCCACCACAGCCTCGACCTGCAGGGCTCAGGCAATCCTTCCGCCTCAACCTTCCAAGTAGCTGGAACTACAGACGCACACCACCACGCCCAGCTAGTTTTTGTGATTTATTGTAGAGACAAGATCTCACCAAGTTGCGCAGCCTGGTCTTGAAATCCAGGACTCAGGCAATCCACTCACCTCTTCCCCCCAAAGTGCTGGGATTACAGGCTAAACCACTGTACCCGGTCTTGTTTTGAACACTTCCTTTTTGTTTCTACTTTATTTGTGTTTCTCATTTCTGTGTCCTTGCTCCCGAGTTTTCCATTTTGCCTATTTTTCTTATGCTCATTCCAGTTTTGTATTTATTTTTGTGGGGTTTTTTTTAAACTTTTACATTTTTTATTTTAAAATTGTGGGGTACAATTCAGGGTTAAGTATACAAATATTCATTATGCAGGTACCCTTGTTGATGAGGTGTGCCCCCCCATCCCCAGGCAGATTCCCACTACTGCCCATCCCACCTCCCCGCCCCTCCATCCCCCCCATTTCCCGCCACTGTCCATTCTTTTGTTGATAGTTGTTCAAGGTCCACTTATGAATGAAAACATGTGATACTCAGTTCTTTGTTTCTGTGAAAGATCAGTCAGTATTATAGACTCTAAGTACATCCAGGTTGCTGCAAAGTTCATGATTTTGTTCTTTATGGCTGCTTAGTATTCCATTGTGTGTATGTACCACATTTTTTTTTTATCTGGGTCCTCTTTTGATGGGCAGCATGGTTGATTCCATGTCCTTGCTATTGTGAACAATGCTGCAATAAACATACGTGTGCAGGTAACTTTTTTATAGAGTGATTTGAGTTCTTCCGGGTCTATTTCCAGTAGGGGGATTGCAGGGTCATATGGAAGGTTGATTTTTAGAACTTTTAGGAATCGCCACACTGCTTTCCACAGAGGCTGTACTAATTTACACACTCCCACCAACAGTGTAGAAGAGTTCCCTTTTCTCCACATCCTCTCCAGCATCTGTTATTTTTTGAGTTATTGATAATGGCCATTCTGACAGGAATTAGGTGGTATCTCAGTGTAGTTTTCTTAGGCTCATTCCAATTTTGTATTTATTTCTGTGGTGGTTTTGTTTTTACTTTTACTTTTTTCATAAGTTCTGGGAGTTTTTTTCTTCTTTTATTTAAAAAAAAAATTTTTTTTTTTTTGAGTTGGAGTCTCCCTCTGTCGCCTAGGCTGGAGTGCAGTGGCACACTCACAGCAACCCCAGCATTGACCTGCTGGGCTCTGGCGATCCTTCCCCCTCAGCCTTCCAAGTAGCTGGAACTACAGGCATGTGCTACCATGCCTGGCTAATTTTTGATTTATTGTAGAGACAAGGTCTCACCAAGTTGCTCAGGCTGATCTCAAACTCTTGGGCTCAGGTAATATACTCACCTAGGTTTCCCAAAGTGCTGGGATTATAGGCTGAGCCACCGAGCCTGGCCTTAATTTTTAATTTTGTAAACGTGGGTTACAGTTCAGGGTAAGGTATACAAGTGTTCATTATGCAGGTACCCTTACTGAGGGTTGTTTTTCACAGCTAAAAAGAATTCTTTCCTGCTGCCACAGATATAGCTGTGCTTGTGATTCTTTTGTACCTTGCATGATCCTTTGAGTACCATCTGCTAGTTGGGCCACACGAGGTTTAAGTTGACCCTAACAAAGAACACACATCTGTTGCACAAGAGTGTGTTATCACTGTAGGAAACGTTCTCACTGGGCATTTTGAGATTGATCGCTGCTCACCCTTCTCTTTTCACTTTCTTATGTGCAACTCCTGCCCAATCTTACCTGTCATATGGTGTCAAGATTATATTTCTAGTCGCCCAATTTTGCTAAAACGATGTTTCCATTATTTCTCCTAATCTCTTAATATCCCTGCCCCCCAACTCTGTTGATTTTGAATGATTGTCAGGTCACGGGTAATTTACATAGCCATATTCTACTAGAAATCTGGATATCTGTTAATCTCCATTGTGTTGAGAAAATTCCTTAAAGGCAGACAGTGTCTTCTATTTTTTTAAACCCCTTTTTATGTATTACAGTATTTGAAAACCAGATTTTGATACGTAAGATGGTATTTCTAACCAACAGAAAAAGGTAACCTATTCAGTACGTTATCAACACAAATCAATCACAATTTGGAAAAAAAGTTATAGTTATTTCCATTTCTGAAACCATTCAACAAAACAATGTCAAATTGATTAAAGACCTAAGTGAAATTTATTTCAAAGGAGATGGCCTAACCTAACAATATCCAGAATTCATAAAAACTTGTGTAAATTCATAATAAAGACAAAAGTCCAAGAGAAAAACGGGGAAAGGGTATGAACAGATTATTCACAAAGGAGGAAACCCTCATGATTAGTAAATTCAGCAATAGGATACTTCAGGGGTTATGGGGAGCCAATAAAATGAGAGGAAAAGAGATCAAATCCCCAAGTCTTTGCCCGGTGGGAATGAGGGGCCTGTGAATGTCACTGCTAGTCTGATCCTCCCCCTTGAAGGAGTGCAGTGAGTAGAAGGCGGGGCAGTGGTCCAGATATTTTTCCATAAAGTAAGATGCACTGCAATGCATATGTAAGTGGGTGGAGCCAACTGGGGGATCCATTTATCAGTTTCATTTAATTTTCAAATGTGTATATCCTGTGATATGCCTCTTTTACTTTTTGGTATCTCAGGATCGCTCACAAAAGAGCGGATTCAAGAATATTCATTGTGGGAGAGTCATAGCAAACAATTGGGAGCATTCTGAATCGTCATTAATAAGGAAGCAGCTAAAAATACTCTTGCGTTTCTGTGCATAGTCATCCCCTGGCATATTCGGGGACTGGCTCCAGGACCCCTGCCTATATCAAAACTCATGCATAATCTAAGTCCCCAGTCTGCTGGTGGAACCCGCATAGATGAAAAGTCAGCCTTCCGTATACAGGAGTTTTGCATCCCATGAATACTGTATTTTCAATCCACATTTGGTTGGAAAAAAATCCAAATATAAGCAGACCCATGCAGTTCAGACTCATGTTCAAGGGTCAGCTGTGCTGCATTATGGAATAATGTGCAGCACTTAAAAGAATAAATGGAACTCTATGTATCAATGTGGAAATATATCTAAAATATTGAATAATATTGAATGAAAAAAGCATTTTTATACATAGATTAGCACTATGATAATTCTATATAAAAAGTTATATATGTACTCAAGTGAATATGTATGTAAATTTAAAGGAAAAGTCTAGTAAGGTGTACACCAGGCCAGTGGAATTTTAGTGGCTAAGTGAGTTCTAAAGGGAACTTTACTTTTTTTTTAATTGGGGTAAAACTCATATAACAGAATTCACCATTTTAACCATTTGCAGTATACAAGGCAGTGTGGTTGGTTCTTAGTCCATCCACAGTGCTGTGCACCCATCACCACTGTGCAGTCTGAAATGTCTTCCTCACCCACCCGCCACCTGTGAAGCATCCACTCCCTGTTTCTCCTCCCCACCCACCTCTGGCGATCACTAACCTGGTTTCTGTCTGTCTCTATGGATTTGCCTATTCTGGGTATTTCATATGAACTTATATGGCATCTGGCCTGTTGTTTCTGGCTTCTTTCATTTAGCATAGTACATCCACATTGTAGGATATGCCAGTTTTTTATTCCTTTTTATAGCCGAATAATGTTCCATTACACACACACACACACACACACACACACACACACACACACACACCCCACATATTTTATCATTCATCGATTGATGGGGCATGTAGGTTATTTCCACCTTTGGGCTGTTGTGAATAGTATAGCACATTGGCATACAAGTGTCTGTTGAGTCCTTATTTTCAATTTCTTTACATGTATATCTAGGAGTGGAGTTGCTATATCATGTGGTAATTCTGTTTAACTTTTTGAAGAATCAAAGAGCATTGCATTTTGCATGAAGAATGTATTGCTTGTGTGATTAGAAATTAATAAAAGTTTTAAAAATGGAAACAGAAAATTGTTCAAAACCTGAAACTGAGAAAGTAGAAAATTATTTAAAATTTGAAGTGAATTAAAAAGTATTTAGAAAATCAAAACAATCTATAAGCTAATCTCCAAGAGATAACTTACTGGTACTTTTGGACTATGTTCTTTCAGTCTTTTAATTTTTGTTAAAAAAATTTTAATACACGAATTTAATTCCCAAGTGTACTGAGATAAACATCAAGTTCTTTAATTTTGTCCTCAATCTTAATCCCCTCCCTTTGAGGGTTAAAATATTTTTCTGAATAATATTGTATTCTTTTTTCTGTGCTACAAACTATTTTTTCAAAACCTAACACCATTTAATACGAATAGGTCTGCAGATTACTTTATTTACTTAACACTGTTTATGGGTTGTTGTTCTAATCAGTTGATATAGATCTCTCCTTCATTTGGTTTAAGAGCTGTATGACACTCCATGGTGTTACTGTATTATAATTGTTTATATTTTCCACTATTAAGGGGCATTTTGATTCTTTAAGTAGTGGTTCTTAAACTTAGCATTCATTAGAATCACTTTGGGATTTTTCAAAATGAATGGCTGGGCCTTATCCCCCTGCCTCTCCCAAGTTTCTGATTCATAGATCTAGGGTAGGCCTGAGAATTTGCATTTATAACAAGACTTTTTATGTTGCTGTTGTCTGGGGACTTCACTTTGAGAACTATTGTTATGAAACATGGTGAGGCTGGTTGCTGTGAATGATTAGAGTTTGCTGAGGGTTTGAACAGGGTAAAAAATACAGCCTGCTTATGAGAGAAAATATATATAATAGTGAGTAAAAATAATTAGAATAAAGATCATAGGACACTGGTGCACTTGCATTCCGTTTTCTTTCTTTTAGAAAGCTTTTATTTCTGGTAAACTGTTTTTTACTCGGTACCCCCTATGGCAGGTTGGAGGACAGGGTCACCATTCGGCCAAATGAAGGTCCTGAAGGTGGACTGTCGAGCCGTGTGGACCAGCTTAGTGACATTCACACAGGTAAGCCCTGCTGCATGAGTCTTGTTACTTTCTGGAAGAGTGTTAACACCAACCTGCTTTATTTGGGCAGTGTGTAAGTAGCATTCCTTATCAGTTGTCTCAGTTGTTTGGAAGGTAGTAGGCATTGAGCACTGGACTCTGTAACAGGATTGTATGGCAACGTGGCAGTAAAATTTCTTGGCCAATTATTTTATTGAGTGTTCAAAAATGAAAAGAATTACTTGCTGAAACCAAGCCAGTGTACTAAGACAATAAGCAAGTCGTCTTCTTAAATAGGATTAGTTACAGGAAATATAATTTTTTATCCTATGGGATAGAATGTATAGGAACAAATTTATACTGGAACTAAATATGTGCCTAAACAGTGTATTTTTTTAGTGTGCAGTATTGCCTTGGATTTGTGTCTGTATTTTAGAACTTCCAATATCATGGAAGTATATAACAAGTTAAATTGACTTTCTGAAAATAAAACATTATATCCTGTTAAAGATTATTTATAGGGTAATTTTGCTTTTGTTTTCCTGATACACGTGGGGTTTTCTGCGAGAATTTGTGTTAAATACTATGCCTTGTCAATATCATTTAGAACTCTGTTTAAGTACGATATGAACTTGTCACGCAATCTCTTCTTTATACCATAGAACCTGGAATAGATGACTCTCAGCACTCTAAATATGATATAGAGAAGTCTCTTCTACCGGAACCATTTTTCCATAGAGTGGTTCAGTCTGAACAGTTGAACGTAGTCTCTCAAGTTCAGTCAATTCAGTGTTCACCAGAAGAATCTCTTCCACTTAGATCTCACTCTGATTCACCATCAAGAAATAAAAACAAGAACTCCTTGCTGATTGGACTTTCAACTGGCCTGTTTGATGCAAACAACCCAAAGGCAAGTATGGTCCTCAAGTGGAAATGTTATCCATTTGCTAGCATTTACTGTTGATTGTTTTTCTTTGATATACCATAATGTTTAGTTTTAATCTCTAAAGAACACAAACACATATCAAAACAAACAACAAAAAAAAACTTCCACCTTTTCTTTTGAGATACTAAAAAGAAATTGCTAATGAAAGTATAACCAGGATAGAGACGATTTCATTGGTTTCCTGTTCAGGATTTTTTTCCTGTAGGATCTACTATTATTTGAGCAAAAGATTTTCTCTTACACCCTTATGCACACTCTCTCTTTCCCATGGCCTAACCTGACTTCCATATTTAGTATAAGACTAAGCTTAAGCAGTATATCTTATCTGGATAGAAGTGCTAATTGCCTAATCTATTTGTAAACAGATTAGTAGATAGATATTCATATGCACTTTCTGGTAAAAGATTTTCAGACCTCTTACCTTTTCTCACTTGCTATTTTAAATGTATGTAATCAAATTTTTCTTATTAAAAGATAGAATATGCCAGGTGCAGTGGCTCATGCCTGTAATCCCAGCACTTTGGGAAACAGAGATGAGAGAATTGCCTGATCCCTGGAGTTGGAGACCAGCCTCGGCAACTTGGTGAGACCTCATCTCTACAATAAGTCAAAAAATTAGCTGGGCGTGGTGGTGTGCACCTGTGGTTCCAGCTACTTGGAAGGCTACGGCAGAAGGATCACCTGAGCTCAGCAGGTTGAGGCAGTGGTGGACATGAGCATGCCACTGCACTCTAGCCTGGGCAACAGAGTGAGGCTCTGAGTCAAAAAATTAAATAAATAAATAAATAGAACGCCTATCTGCAGAAAATTTGGAACTGCAAGTGAAAATTTAAAAATCATATGTCAATTCATATATATAATTGTGAATATATTTAATTTTACCAAAACAGGATATTATGTATACTTTTTATATTCCTTTTCTAGTTATTATAATATTCTTACAAATAACATTATTGTAGTATTGTTATGAAAATAGCACTCTATCTGAATATATTGTCAGATATTCTCTTTATCACCATTATATACTGTTTTTAATGATCACGTATTCTACTGGGCTGCTTATCATAATTTTTTCACAAATCTGCTTTTATTGTCAGGCTTTAGGTTTTAATTTTTGTTATTGTAACCACCTACACCTCTAACTCTGTATACAGTCACAATTACTTCCATAAAGTAAATTTCTCTAATATAAGTCACAAAGTTATATTGTATATTGCCTGATTTCCTTGTAAGAAACAGTTAATGCTGCTGTCAGCAGTGTGGGAGAGCGTAACCATTTCTCCGCGCCCTAAGTGGCACCCACTACTGGTCATTTACTTAAACATCTATTTAATCAATGAGTAACAAATCAGCAGATTTGTTCCAGTTTGTACTTCTGTGTTTATCAGTGAAGCTGGACATTTTTCTTTTGTTTGAGCTTGTATATAAATGAATTGCCTGAATTATTTAGTCCTTGACTATTTTTTAAATATATCATTTTGATTTTCAATTTAATTTTCCCATTGGTTTTAGTTTTATTTTGCGGAGTATTATCTCATGCTTATCTTAAGCTTAGAGATTATTAAATTTACTCATTTGACTAATAACAGTTAGATTTTAGAAGATGCAAATCACCAAAACAAATGTGTGATCTTCAGAGTTAGAGACAGAGACGTATTGTGGGACAAGGACTATCATATAATTCATGCTGTTTGTTTTGTATCACTGTCTTTAGTTCGGATCTTTCAAATAGCTTATTGCTGTCCATGAAACTAGTATCCTTTGCATAATATAGTTGATGATTTGGTTTCCTTTCATGACCTTGGACCACATTGGTCCTATGGAAGTATTTATTCCGGAAGTAAGCGTGGCACATTGTAAGCAGCTGTGCAGACTTCAGCTAGAGGACTGTGAGGGAAAAGGCAGTGGAAAACCAGAAAATCAAAGCAATCTGTAACCATCCCAGAAAAGGACCAAGGGCCATCCCTGCCTGCCCTATAAATCAAGAGTTCATCACTGAGACAAAATAGTAGTCAGTATTCATAATAGTGTCCTTGAATCATGAAGGAAAATCAAAATTATAAAAATATATATAGTCTATATACTAAGATGGGATAACTTAACCTCTTATAAACATTTTAAAAACTCATTTTAAAAATGTTGAGTTATATTACTTGTGGGGATTTTTGTATTAAAGGAAATCTTCCTTGTATCTTGGATCCCAGCCCCTTCCACCTTCTCAAGGAACTTGCTCTGTCACTCTTGCTGCTCTAACCTGTGTCGTCTTCCTCTTTGGAGGGTCCTTTCCCCAGCACGTATGTTCCAGTAAATTGCACCATAAATAGCAAACGTCCCTTGACGTGTATTCTCCAGCTGCCGCCCTTTCTCTGTCTCTTGACAGCCATCCTGAACACATTGCAGACTCCTTGCAGCCACTCCCCAGCACGTCCCGTGTGGCTTTCGAGAGGCTCTCCACTGAGGCTGCTCTTGTCCAGGTGGTCAGACACAGCACGGTGCCAGATTCCCTGCACCCTTTTCTCTCTCACTTCTTGACTTTTATTCTTTCAACAGAGTTAATGCGGACCTTAACTTTATAACTCACTTTATCTGTGGGCTTCCTTTAGAGTGTACTTTCCTAGTTTTTCTCTGAACACATTAGTTACCCTTCAGTCTCCTTTCCTGGTGGCCCCAACCCTAACAGATCTGTTGAAGAGAGCGTGTCTTCTTGTATTGCTGAGTGAGTATACTATAAATGTCAAATAGTCAAGTTGGCTTACAGTGTTGTTCAAGTCTTCCGAAGCTTTACTGATTTTTTTTTATCTACGTGAACTATTCATTGCTAAGAGATTGAGATTTTTTTTTCCTCTTATTTTTTATTTTAAAGATGTGGGATACAATTCAGGGTTAGGTACGTAAGTGGTCATTGTACAGGTAAAATGTAGGTACCCTTATTGATGTTATGTGCCCCCCCAAGTGTCCCACTACTTCCAATCTCTTTCTTACAGTATTATGATGAATGTTCAGGGTTCGCTTATGTGGTACGCAGATCTTTGTTTTGTGATAAATCACTGAGTATTATATAGACTCTAATTCCATCCAAGTTGCTGTGAAGTTCGTAATTTTGTTTTTCTTTAAGGCTGCATAATATTCCATCATGTAAATATATATTTTCTCTATCCAGTCCACTTTCAGTGGGCAGCACGGTTGGTTCCATGTTTTTGCTGATGTGAATAATGCTGCAGTAAACATGTGTGTGCAGGTATCTTTTTTATAGAGTGATTTCAGTTCTTCCAGGTATATTCCCAGGAGGGGGATTGCTGGGTCATACAGAAGGTCGATTTTTAGATCTTTTAGAAATTGCCACAGTGTTTTCCAAGAGGTTATACTAATTTACAATCCCACCAACAGTGTAGAAGAGTTCCCTTTTCCCCATATCCTCTCCAGCCTCTGTTGTTTTTTGAGTTATTGATAATGGTCATCCTGACTGGCATTAGGTGGGAGATTGAGATTTTTAACTATACCTGTATGGATAACTATTTCTCTTTGTGGTTGTGTCAGTCTTTCAGTTTTCATTCCATGTAGTTTGAAGCTTTCTTACTGGGTGAATAAAAATGTAGTATTGTTATATCTTCTGGATGAATTGATTTGTTTACTATTATGAAGTATCTTTCTTGTTTGATAGTCACTCAGTATTCTCACTGATTTTCCTTCTACGTGTATATCACTTACTGAAAAGGAGTGTTGTGATTTCCACTCAGTTGAATTTAAATGACGAATCATGATGTCTTATTGATGAATTGACCCTTTTATCATTGTGAAAGAATCTTTTTATCACTGGTCATATCACTTTGTCTGAAACCTGTTTTGTCTGGTTTGAATGTAACCATTCCAGTTTTTTATGCTTTGTGTTTGTATGGTATATATGCATTTTTTTTACTACTTTTAACCAAGCATTTTATATTTAAAGCGAATTTCATGTAGTTAGTATATAGTCAAGTCTTATATTTTAACCAACCTGACAATCTCTTTTAATTAGTTAGGTGATTTACATTTAATATAATTATTAATATGACATCATCCATATGATTGGGTTTAAGTCTATCATTTTTCTGTTTTATGCTTGTCTGATTTTTGTTGTTGTTCCTTTTTTACTCTCTCCTTTCCTTTGGATTGAGTATTTTTAGTATTTATTTTATCTCTAGTATTTGCTTATAAGGTGAACTTCTTTTTCAAAAAATATTTAGTGGTCATTCTCAGTTTTCAAGATACATCTTTCGCTTGTCATAGTCTGCCTTCAATAATATTATACCACTTCACATTATATCATGAGGTCCTTACAACCATATACAGTCTTGCAACACAATGATGTTTTGGTAAACCACAGACCCCTGTACTATTGTGGTCCCAATTATAATGGAACTGAAAAATTCCTATTGCCTAGTGACATCTGAACATCATATTTTTTTCCCAAGCCAAACTGCATCCAGCTTTATTAAAGATACTTTTCATAAACAATCATGGTATTTCAGGCAGGACATGGGCAGACAATCTTTAACAGTATACAACAACTTTCAAACTCCCTTCTTTAATGGACTACCAAATCAGAAAGCCACTATAAAAACCCAATGAAGTCTTCATTTGATGCTCTGAACAGGGAAGAAGTTTAGAGTGAGGGTTGACATTTCACATTTAGCATGCTGTTTGACAACTTTTCACAGGCCAACCCTGACTTTCAGGAAATGAAATGAAAATGGCAGAATTTGTCTGAAGATCCACAATCTATAAACGAAAACTGCTGTTCTATGAGGGGTGCCATCTCAGCGGCATCACTGACATACTGGTAACCAATTATTGGAGGTCAGGTCCCAACAGATGTCTGGGTTTAAGGGAGTTAAGTCTATGGTGAAGGCAGAAAGGGAGAAGAGGGCATAAAAAATGAATGTTTTTCCACACCACAAGGTGTTTGTACCAAGGTGGTTGTGTGTGTCAACATCGGGGAATCCCTCCTCCTGGAAGCCAAGAGGAAGTCTCTTAAAACTAGAAGGGAAAGGTATTTTCCCCACATCACTTCAGCTTTGGAGACATTCTATTAGTGATATATGCCCCTTTCCTCAAAAACAGCAATGAAGTGTTCTGTGTGCTAACAACATAGCTTAAAAAACAAAAAGCAAAAACAAAATTCTGCATTTTTATAAAACTTGATAAAAAATAGTATTTTAAACTGTACAGTCACCAGTACACAGTTATCAAAAATGCACACACTTCACTTGGCATCTCCAGCACCTTCAGCTTTCTGTGCCTGGTCCGTTTTGGCATCTCCATTTTCTGCAGGGTTATTCCCCTCCTTGCCAGCATCGACTTTTCCCTTTTTCCCTTTGGGAACCTTCTCTCCCTTCTTAGCTGGGGCCTTCTTAGGCTGGGGCTCTGGCTTTGGAGGAGCAGGTTTAGCAGACAACCTTGCAGGTCTTCTCTGGGGTTCATCCTTCACCTTGGCTTTGTCTCCTTTAGCCTCCCCTTCAGCCTTTCTCTTGGGCATGGTGGTGATGGCAGCGGAACTGAGGCGCTGGACGTGGGGATGGAGTGGCGCGCGGGCTTTGGTCGGTCCGGGGTCGTTCTTGCCTCTTCTTCTTCACACTGCTCCTGAACGTCATATTGTAATGCATGACTCAAGTGTTTGCTGGTGTAAACAACCCACTAAGTGCCAGCCGTATAAAAGTCTAGCACATGCAATTTTATATGTTCATAATAATTGATAATGGTGATAAAGGACCATGTTACTAGTTTATTATACTTTATTGTGCTATTAATTTTTTTGAGGCAAGGAAAGAAAAGATTTATTTAAAAAGAGATCACTTCCTACATGTGTGGCCTTCTGGGGTGCGAGCCAATGCCACATAGAAGATGCAAAGAATTGTACAGAAGTTAGATTAAAACATACAGTTTATTTAAAAGTAAATTCAAGAAAGAAAAGGGAGAGAGAAGATTCACCTCCCCAAGGTAGGGGAGGGGGCCAAAGCCAGGAAGCATGACGATAGCCGTAGCTCAAAGAACACATGACCACACCAGAGTCTAGCAAGGCAATCGCCTTAATTATTATTTTAGAGTATACTCTTTCTACTTATAAAAATATAGTTAACTGTAAAATGGCCTCAGGCGGTTCCCTCAGGTGGTGTTCCAGAAGAAAGCGTTGCTGTCCTAGGAAATGACAGCTCCATGCGTGGCATCATCCTTGAAGACTTTACAAAGGGACAAGATGCAGAGGTGGAGCACAGTGGGATCAGTGATCCTGTGTAGGCCTATGTGTATGCGTGTATCTCTGTTTTTCACAAAAATGTTTAAAAAGTAAGAAATTAAAATGAATAAACTTTAAGATACAAAAAAGCTTATAGAATAAGGACACAAAGAAAGAAAATAGGTTTGTACAGCTATACAGTGTGTTTGTGTTTTAAGCTAAGTGTGGCCAGGCATGGAGGCTTACGCCTTCAATCCCAGCACTCTGGGAGGCTGAGGTGAGAGGATTGCTTGAGCCCAGGAGTTTGAGATCAGCCTGGGCCACATAGTGAGACCTGGTCTCTGCAAAAGTTTTAAAAATTAGCTGGGCATGGTGGTGGCACATTCCTGTAGTCCCAGCTCCTTGGGAGGCTGAGATGGAAGGATCACCTGAGCCCAAGAGGTCAAGGCTGCGGTGAGTCATGATTGTGCCACTGGACTCCAGCCTAACTGACAGAGTGAGACCCCAACTCAAAACAAACAAACAAAAAACACCCCAAAACTGCATTTGTTATTTTATAAAGGGAAATCATCAGTATATTTTTTCTGGTCACTTTTTTTAAGAGTAACATTTTCGGGATTCGATTAATTTATAATCCCATGAAACTTGGAGGCAGCTAAAACAGAGAAGTACCTCCTAGCCCCACTTCATTCGCAGCCGATAAAGAAGATGGCGTAAGAGTCCATCAGATCAAGATCATAATGCCTGCTGATAAAGCTCTCCTGGAAAACGTGGCTAGAGTTAGCCCGAAATCATGCCTCTCAGTATTCTTCTCCAGAGACTAGTCCTTGGGACAACCTTGGAGTCTACAGAGCAGAACCCGTGGTCGGAACTTTGTACCCCTCCAGCTCCAGCGGCAGGGAGACAGAGTCAGACCCGTCTGGCTCCGCAGGCCCAACCTGTGGGTCCTGCGACAGGGCGGGAGGGGGCGGGAGACACCGGGCAGGTCCGCGGAGCAGGTCCGCGGAGCAGACAGGCACGCGCCCTCCTGTCTGGGCCTTCTCGCGAGTTTTCCTTCCATGCCTCCTCCAGTTGCGGGGGGCAGTGAACAAGGGATGGAGAGAGGCCGGTGTGTTCCGCTGCCACTCTTCCCTGCGGGGGGCGGGGGGGGGCGATCTCCTCTAGGAAAGCTCAGAATTTTTTTTCTTGTTTTAGCAAATGCAGCGTGGAAAGAGGTTAGCGTGCATTCACAAGCAGCACATGAGCCTTAGCTGACTTCTTTCAGTTTGTTGAAATGCCTATTCTTAGGTCAAGTCTGTAGTTTTTGCCTTTAGTGAATGGTCATAATTTTTAATTAATGTTTTAGTCCATTTTAGCCTGATTTATGTGTTGGAGTAAGCAAATCGTTTTAGAGGACATTATGAGAGAGCAACGTTATAGTTTAATTGCACTAAACAGAGGCTAAACAGTGTATTTTAGTTAGCAACTTTTGTAGAGATGAGGTCTTTTGCTAACTAAGGCACATTGTTTAGCCTCTGTTTAGTGCAATTAAATTATAACATTGAGATGGTTTTACTAGGGCTAGCTAAAATGTATCTCAGCATTCTTTTGTGTAGTCCCTCAAATTTAAGTATATGACGTAGCAGTGCTGTTGATTTTTATTGACAGGGAAACCATTGCTGGGACATATGGCTAATTTATAATATACATGGTTCAGACACTTAAAATAATAAACAAGTAAAGTGTAAATTCTGTTGACAGTAGGAAATTTAAAAGAAATACTTTCAGTACCATTATTAAGTGCTTTAACAAGCAGTGTATTTTTACCAACTTCACCAACTTGTAGTTCCTAATGATTTTATCCCTTGAGTGCCATACTGTATAAATTATGTTCAAGTAATGGAAATCTTTTTTAACTATTCTCAAGAACATATTATACCATAATTGGCCAAGTGCATAAATTTTCATTAATATATGAACATTGTGTTTTCCTCGTGGTCTCCCATCTGGTGCAGGGTTCTTACCAGTGCCGTGGTCGTCATATTCCAGATCTCATGGACTCCTGTAGGGCCAGCCCACCCAGGGAGCTGTGTGTGTGCTTGTTTGTTTCACAGCACTGTCCACCCCTCACATTCTGCTGCTGAAAGGTGGACAGAGACCATTCCTCTTCTCCCTGGTCTTATCCAGGACGAATTTCAGATTTTCAGCACCTCAGCTGTGCATTGTTTTTTCTCAGCTCAGTTGGCTGAGTGCCTTCTTCCTGCTGTTATGAATGATTCAGTGCTGACATCAGTGTGCTTGTCCCTACAGCCTCTGATCTACTGAGAAAGCTCTGCCCACAGTCCCAAACTTGGGGCAGCATGTTGGACTTGGCTCTGTGCTGATTGGAGGCCCCTGCCCTGCCCGGTGTTGGCTAGCCAGCATCTCCTATAATTAAGTGGTCCAACGGTGCTCATACGCATAGACCAATATGCACTTGGGCAAGACTGGGTGGCAGAGCTGACTGAGAAAGTGAGAGGAACACTAGAGGCATCAGGAGACAGGGACTCCTGGGTCATGATGGAGAGAGTTTCTACACTGCCTGCTTCCTGACAGATTTTCAGTACCCTATGCATCACCTAAATAAACACCTCTCCCACTTTTTATCAGTGATATGAGGAAAATCCTATGTATCAAACCATAAGCGTAACTCACAAGTTTTGTTTCCTCTAGAACATACTGAGCTGAAATTCAAGCAAATTAGGTCCTCACCTTATATAAGTCACCTTTGAACCCTTTAGCTCTAAACATACATACATACATATGGATATAGATATAGATATATAGATATATATAAATAGACACACACATATATATCAAAAGTTTTAATAGCTCTAATTTTTTCTCATTTTAATTTTTAACTTCTTGTGCTCCTAACGAGAAATCTGTTGACTTTTTTAGATGCTGAGGACATGTTCACTTCCAGACCTCTCAAAGCTGTTCAGAACCCTGATGGATGTACCCACTGTAGGAGATGTTCACCAAGACAATCTCGAGATCGATGACATTGAAGATGAGCCCATTAAAGAAGGCCCTTCGGATTCAGAAGACATGTAAGCACAATGTCATTGGTGAATACTGGCATTAACAGAGTTTCTGCATCTATGTTTTAAAGAGGATAACATACTAGACGGTTTTTTCTTTAAATTATTAACCTCTGCATTTATGCCTTCTTTTTTTTTTTTTTTTTAAGAGATGGGTCTTGCTCTGTTGCCCAGGCTGGAGTGCAGAAATCATAACTCACTGCAGCTTTGAACGCCTATGCTCAAGCAGTCCTCTTGCCTCAGCCTCAAGGTAGCTAAGACTACAGGTGTGAACCACCATTTTTTGTTTTTTTGTGGAGATTGTGTCTCACTATGTTTTCCATTTTGGTCTCAAACTCCTGACCTCAAATGATCCTCCTGCCTCAGCCTCGCAAAGCACTAGACAACAGTAAAAATGATCTAGCCCAGGGAATGGCAGCTCATACCTATAATCCCAGCACTTCAATAGGCTGAGGCAGGAGGGTTGCTTGTGCCCAGGATTTTGAGACCAGCCTGGGCAGCATAGATTCTGTCTCTGTGTTTATTTAAAAAGAAAAAATTATCTGTAGCTAACTTTCTGCTACTCCTTTACATTTTGCAACTTATTTAAGATACAGTCATGCAAATGTTGATAAACTTTATCAACCTCTTAATACCAGTTACTTAATCTCACCTGAGGCATATAAGAAAATGGTTTCCAGTTGTGTCCACTACCTCATTCACCACTGAGTATCTGGCACCCTGGCTTGTACATAGCAGTTGTTTGATAAACATTGGTTAAATTAATTGATGTTATCAGGATAATGACTGTTTACTGGTGAAGCACCACATGATACAAGGATTGCAGTGGGAAATTACGCTGTCATTAATATACCTATGTACTGCATGATGACATTTTGGTCAACAGTGGACCACATATGTGATGGTGGTCACATGAGATTATAATGGAGCTGAAAAATTCCTCTCCTAGGGAAGTTGTAGCCATCATAAAGTCAGACATGTGACTCACACGTTTGTGGTGACGCTGGTGTAAAGAAACCCACTGCACTGCCAGTCATATCAAAGTAGAGCACAAACAATTATGGACAGTACATAATACTTGATAGTGCTAATAAACTGTCATGTCCCTGTTTGTGTAGTCACTATACTATACTTTCTGATTATTATTTTAGACAGTACTCCTACTTTAAAAAAAAAGTTAGCCAGAGAGCAGCCTCAAGCAGGTCTTTCATGAGATAGTCCAGAAGAAGGCATTGTTATCACAGGAGATGACGGCTCCATATGTGTCATCGCCACTGAAGACCTTCCAGTGGGATAACACATGGAGGTAGAAGATAGTGACATTGATCATCTTGGCCTGTAGGCCTAGGCTAACGTGTGTGCTTGTGTCTCAGTTTCCTTTTTTTTTGAGTTGGAGTGTCACTCTGTTGCCCAGACTGGAGTGCAATGGCCGCTCCCAGCCACTGCAGCCTCGACCTACTGGGCTCTGGCGATCCTTCCGCCTCAGCCTTCCGAGTAGCCAGAATTACAGGCACGCGCTACCATGCCTGGCTGATTTTTTGATTTATTGTAGAGATGAGGTCTCGCCAAGTTGCCCAGGCGGGTCTCGAACCCGCGGGCTCAGGCAATCCACTCACCTCAGCCTCCCAAGGCGCTGGATTATAGACTGAGCCACCGAGCCCAGTGTGTCTTAGTTTCTAGCAAGAAATTTGAGAAGTAAAAAATAAAATTAAAAAATTAAATAGAAAAGGGAATAAAGAAATTGAAAATGTACTGCTATACAATGTATTTGTGCCTTAAGCGTTATTGCTAAAGAATAAAAAAAGTTTTTAAATATTGAAAAGTTTAAAAAGTAAAAAATTACAATATGACAAGGTTCATGTGTTATTGAAGAAAGAAAACTATGTTCTTAGAAATGTAGAGTACCAAAGTGTCCAGTGTTCATCAGTCTAAAGTAGTGCACAGAGATGTCCAAGCCTCCCCACTCACTCCCTGATCACCTCCAGTGTTTGTACGTCTGCATTCGTGCACGGTGATATCTGAGGGCTTCCCACCCACTCGCTGACTCAACCAGACAGCATCCCTCCTGCACGCTTTGCTCACACCGAGTGCCCATGACCGATGCCCACTTTTTCTCCTCTGTACTGTATTTTTCCTGCAGATTTGCCACATTTCTGTGTGTTTCGATGCAGAGATACTTCCCATTGTGTTACAGTTGCCCACAGCACTCAGTTCAGTCACATGCAGTACAGGTGTGTATCCCAGGAGACCAGCCTAGGCGCCTCACAGGTACACTGTCTAGGTGCATGTACATCACTCTATGATGTTCATACAACAGTGAAATCACTTGACAACAACACATTGCTCAAATGTCCTATCATTAAGTGACACATGACTGTGCTCTACAATTCCCAGGAAAAGGAGAAACTCCACGTCCACCTCTGCCATGTGTGATGGCAAGACCACGGCAAGGGGGTCAGCAGGTTGACGAGGATGTGTGTGTGTGTGTGCGTGCATGCAGGTGCACATGTGTGTCCTGCATGTTATTTGACTGCTGTCACAAAATTCCTTTCTTTGTGATTCATGAGGAATCTGGAGTTCAGGAGGGAGTTTAGCAGCAGCACCTCTGAGGGCTGTGGGCAGTGACAGCCCTTCAGGTGATAGTCCTCCCTGACCTTCAGCACTGGTCAGCCATCTGGCCCTCAACAAGTGAAATCAGAGTATTCTATAATGAAATGTTTGAGAAGGCACAGTACATTCAAATCACCTGGAGAAGAAGTTATAAAATGTTAGAATTCGGCAGGGCGCGGTGACCCATGCCTGTAATTCCAGCACTTTGGGAGACTGAGGCAAGAGGATTACCTGAGCCCAGGGGTTTGAGACCAGCCTGGGCAACTTGGCAAGGCTTCGTTTCTACTCGTAAATCAAAAAATTAGCCAGGCGTGGTTGCACGCACCTGTGGTTCCAGCTACTTGAAAGACTGAGGCAGAAGGATCACCTGAGTCCAGCAGGTCGAGGCGGCAGTGGCCATGAGTGTGCCACTGCACTCTAGTCTGGATAACAATGAGACTCCAGCTCAAAAAAAAAAGTGAGGATTTTTGTGATTTATTTGTAATTTTGTTTTAACTTAAGTTTCTTCTTTTAACTTCTGCCTTTTAATAGAAAAAACTTGTATTTTGATCTGATTGAAAGTATATGAGTCTCACAATTTTCCTCTATAATGAATTAGTCAGGACCATGCAACTGGTATATTTATTTTCCATTTTTTTGTTTTTGTTTTTCTTTTTTAAAAAACATTATTTGTTTATTTATTCATAAAGATGTGGTGTACAATTCAGGATTAGGTTGTTTTTGTTTTTCTTAAGTCTTGCCTTTTGTTTCCTAAATTTCTTATGACATTTCTTTAAAAATATTGCCTGTTTAAAATTTTTGGTAGCATTTGCTAATGACTTCAAAATTTGAAAGAAAAGTTACCTTTATATCTTTATTTTTTCTACTTGACTGCGGTCATTAATCACTTTAATTTTGTTTTTATTAACCCTGTCAAAGTACACAACAAACAACATTCAGCATCTATTTTTTTCTGGAGACAGAGTTTCACTTTGAAGATTCAAAATCTTTATTATTGACAAAGTGCTAAGGAACCGTTTCTTTCCCAGAATTTTTATAAAATCATTCTTTTTTTTTTTTTTTTTTTTGAGTTGGAGTCTCACTCTGTTGCCCAGACTGGAGTGCAGTGGCCACTCCTGGCCATCGCAGCCTCGACCTGCTGGGCTCCGGCAATCCTTCCGCCTCAGCCTTCCGAGTAGCCGGAATTACAGGCATGCGCTACCACGCCCGGCTGATTTTTTTATTTATTTTAGAGATGAGGTCTCGCTGCCCAGGCGGGTCTCGAACCCGCGGGCTCAGGCAATCCACTCACCTCAGCCTCCCAAAGGCGCGGGATTACAGGCTGAGCCACCCAGCCCGGCTATCATTCATTTTTAATCTGAGTGAACCGAAGCTTATTCGTAGCTTGGTTTCTTTTAATTACTAGTTGATAACAGAATTTTGTTTTAAAATTTAAGTTTGAAGTCTTTAGTATTCATAGAAAATGTGACAAGGAAGTTACTTTTAAAATATGTTACTCCATGCTTATATAGGGAAATTTTATTTGATGTTTGTCTTTGGAAAATATTTTTGGTCCAAACTTTATTCGAGGTGTTAAAATAAGAAAACCAACTAAAAAGTGGACTCAGGGCCAGAGTTGTAAGTACCTGAAGTTTTCCGAGTGTTCATTTTGTAAAAGATCTTGATCTTCGGATACTTTTCTTACAGTGGCGGGCTTAGCAGCCTGGCCTCCTCCTGCACATCTGCAGAGGGCACTTGTTCCTGCAGACGAACCACTAGGAGACGTCACCCACAGCTCCGTGTTTAGTCTTGTGCTCCTGGTGAGAGAGGGCGTGCCTCAGTCCGGCTTGTGGAGCTGGTGCTGCCGGAGGAACGACCTGAGAAGGGACACACTCTCTCTCTGACTCCGATGAGTCGCTTGCTTTTCCATACCTGCTGCAAAGCCACATTGTCGGCATTGGTGCACATAAGTACGGAGTGAGCATGCTTGCACATAAACAGATTGTTTGCTTTTTCTGTTATTGGAAATTTTATTGAGTCTGTTTATATTTCATTTAAATACTGTTTATATTTTAGTTCTTTAGTAAATGTTTGTTTGATTTGAGTCTAAACTTTTAGAAGGCCTAATCAGCTCACATGTCCTGCTGAGCATTGCTTTCCTGGTAGATGAAATCCTGAATGAGGGCACATAATCTCTTTCGGAAGACTTCAGACACCTGCAGCCTCTGTTAACTCTAACTCCTGTCTACAAATTTTTCCTCTGCCTGCCCCTTAGGAGAAAGGTACAGACCATGAGAGGAAAAGTCCATGAGTCCATGTCCTTGTTTTGTATAAACTAAGTGGTCAAAGAACAAGCCTCCTTCCTCTGTCTGCCACTGATTGGCTGCATGGCCCTGAGCAGGTCATTAAACACTGTGGTTCATGGATTTCTTGCCTCTAAAGTAAATGTTGTGTGGATAAAACTTAAATACTAGGATAAAACTGCTGAATAAACTAAAGTACTACATGAATGTAAGGTATCATTTATATAAATCAGTTCATTCCAGCATTTGTAATCCCGTGAAAAGAGAATTAATCTTCTGACCAATAGTTTGGCAACAAGATTCTCCAGTGAAGATTATAATGGTTAGTATAGTCTTATTACACAGGAAATTCTACTTATTATATATTTGGGAACATTTTCAAGTATAAGCATCTACAGATAAGTTTTCTGGTGACCATTTTGCTCATTGGATCATACTGATACACTGAACATACAATTCTCCAAGTACTGTTACTTCTAAAAGTTCAAATGCCCAGTGGGCACTTAGGTGGAAAGCCTTTTGTACAGTGTACAACCGTTGTATACCACACAGAGATTTTGAAAATTTCCAACTACATGAAAGAAAAACATTCGAGTATTAAGTATTTGTTTTAGAAAGTACATGAAAAACCCCTGTAATCTCATCTCTTAAAAACGCTGTTTCATCCGGGCTCGGTGGCTCAGCCTGTAATCCCGTGCCTTGGGAGGCTGAGGTGAGTGGATTGTCTAAGCCCGTGGGTTGGAGACCCGCCTGGGTAACTTGGTGAGACCTCATTTCTACAATAAATCAAAAAAAATTAGCCGGGCGGTAGTGCGCACCTGTAATTCCGGCTGCTTGGAAGGCTGAGGCGGAAGGATCGCCGGAACCCAGCAGGTTGAGGCTGCGGTGGCCAGGAGTGGCCACTGCACTCCAGTCTGGGCGACAGAGTGAGACTCCAACTCAAAAACAAAAACAAAAAAAACGCTGTTTCAAAAATGTGAGTAATGAATGATATTGATAGTTATGTGATTCTCTTTGGCAAATCAGCACCATTTTAACCAAGTTGCCTCTTGGCTGATACATTGTAGAATATGTGTTTTGTACTGTGGTTATCAGTGGTATTCGTCATCAGTGTCTTTGTGAAAATCAACATGGGATTCTTTCAGGTTTGTCTTCTATTAGTACGCATATTTATCTATTTTCTTTTTTAATTTTTGTTTTAAAGATGTGGGGTACAGTTCAGGGTTAGGTATACATATGGTCACTGCACAGGTAACGTTTGGGCCTTGCTGTGGTCCCCACTTCATCTGGCTTGAGATCAGGCACCCTTATGGATGAAGTGAAGTGTCCCACCCCCGCAGTTTCCCGCTACTACCAATCTCTTTCTTGCAGTATTATGATAACTGTTCAGGGTTCGCTTATGAGTGAGATCACATGGTGCTCAGTTCTTTGATTCTGTGATAGATCACTGAGTATGCTAGACTCTAAGTCCATCCAAGTTCTGTTTGATTTTTTTAAAGTGCTCTATAAAATACTTCCCTCATGTTGGAGTTACTATGTGTATTAAGACTAAATATAATTAAGGTTTGTGTATATATATACATACACATATGTTAATAAAGATAGCAAATTGCTTAAGAGATATGTGAATTAGTGTCAAATTCTAAAGTTCATGTTCTTATTTAGATGTCATATTTCTTTTTTTCTTTTTTTAACTAATTTTTTTTAACTTTAAAGATATGGGGTACAATGCAGGGTCAGGTATACAAACGCTCATTATGCAGGCTCCCTTGTGGATGAGGTGTGCCCCCTTCCCCAGGCAGATTTCCCACGACTGCCAATCCCGCTTCCCCATCTCCCTCCCTGCAGTTTCCCGCTACTACCAATTGCTTTCTTAGGTACCACAATAGTTGTTCAAGGTTAGGGGTGAGAATGCGTGATAATCGTTTCTTTGTTTCTGTGAAAGACCTCTCAGTATAGTCTGTAAGTCCGTCCAGGTTGCCGTGGCGTTCAGGATTTTGTTCTTCCTTATGGCTACGTAAGATTCCATCGTGTATATGTACCACATTTTTTAAATCCAGTCCTATCTATTTATTTCCATTAGTCCTTTCAAGCAGAAGGCAGGCCCTGTGTGTTGAGACGAAGGCACATTTCAGAGTAAGGTAAAGGTTGGGGGATGATCAGCTGCACTGACTGCACGTTCTAAATTCCAGTGTGTTTGAAGAGCCAGACCCAGACTTGCGAGAGCTCCAGGCCTCGATGGAGCAGTTGCTGAGGGCGCAGCCTGGGGAGGACAGCGAGGAGGAGGCGGAGGCGGAGGCGGCCCTGGGGAGCAGCGGCGCGGGGCTGGCCGCGGGCGTGGAGCCGGACGACAGCCCCGGCAGCGAGAGCGCCCTGGACGAGGAATGGCGCTCGGGTGCGTGTCCGCCAGGGCCTGGGTCTCCTCGGCGTGTTGCGCGCGTGGGCGCCCTGGGCCTTCCTGACGGCGGAGGCGAGCCAGCGTCGTCCACGCGGAACGACACGGAGGCCTGCCGCGGGTCTCTGCCCTTCTCTGTTCTTTTTCTTTCCACGCGATGTGCTTCCTTCCTTTTCCTTCCCTTTAAGTTTTCCATGTACTCCCTGTTAAATTATGGAAATGCTTTTTTGAAGCATTTGGTTTTTTCATCTTTTCTCCATTTCTAACTTATTTTTTCAACATCATAGAGGTAACTTGAGTTTTCGTAGCACTCTGTGTTTTAAAAAGAGGTGCCATGGATCATGTTTAATCAGCAGGGCTGATTCTGAAAGCAGTTTTAAAATCTTGTCACTCTTTTTTTACGTTTGAAAACTATTCTGTGTGCATAGCATGACCCCTAAGATGTGAAGAAGATGTGTGTATCATGCATCTTTGGGAACAAGAGCTCATGAGGAAAGGAAAGATCCTTCCCGTGTTATGTATCTTGAGCTTGTATGAGATGGCATACTTGGGGCGTGTTTCACACCCTCTGTCGCAGTGGTGTTTTAGGTCGCCTGCTCATGCGTGCCCTTCTGTGTTAGGGGCCATGGTTGTTATCCACCTTCTAAAATAGTAGTTAGGGTTAGTTGCTTCAAAGCAGAACACAGAAGTACCCTTGTCTTTTCTTTATTAAATAACATCTCTAGGGATGTTTTTATTCCAACTTGATTTCCTGGTTATGTGTATAAAAGATTCCCAAAGTAACAATCTTGTTAAGACGTATTGAACATATTTTGTTCACCTGCATAAATGGCAGGTATTATAGTAAGAAAAACTGTTTTTATTGAAACTAAAAATAGTCTGGGTCAGTGATATTATTCATTTGTCATAGGATTTTAGTTTATTAGGGTAAGATTTTATTCAGTCTTATTTTTCAATCATAAAATATCTTTTTAAGAACTAATTTTGTTTTTCAGATAACAGTGATGGTGAAACTGCCAGCGAATGTGAATATGACAGTGTCTTTAACCACTTAGAGGAGCTGAGACTTCATCTGGAACAGGAAATGGGTTTTGAAAAGTTCTTTGAGATTTATGAGAAAATAAAGGTAAGTGAAATGTCAATTAAAACATTACTTTTAAAATGTACTTTGAATACCTGAGAAATGTTAATAAAAAGAGAAGTCTAAGACCAGGCACTATGGCTCAAGCATGAAATCTCAGCACTTTGGGAAACCGAGGTGAGAGGATTGCCTGAGCTCAGGGGTTCGAGACCAACTTGGGCAACTTGATGAGACCTCATCTCTACAATAAATCAAAAAATCAAAAAATAAGCTGGGCATGGTAGTGCACGCCTGTAGTTCTAGCTACTTGGAAGGCCAAGGCAGAAGGATTACCTGAGCCCAGCAGGTTGACGCTGTGGAGACCGTGAGCAGGCCCCTGCCCTCCGACCTCGGGGACAGAGTAAGACTCCAACTAAAAAAAAAAAAGTGAAGTCTGTAATTAGAAAAAATTGGTCAGATATTAATTTATTTTGGAAATTTGATATAGGCTATTCATGAAGATGAAGATGAAAATATTGAAATTTGTTCAAAAGTAGTTCAGAATATTTTGGGAAACGAACATCAGCATCTTTATGCCAAGATTCTTCATTTAGTCATGGCAGACGGAGCCTACCAAGAAGGTAAGATTTCCTCCCATGTCTTTGTCACTTTCAGTGAGTGTGAGAAAACATGATGACAGATGCAAGTGCTTGAGCTTTCCTCACACCCATGTTGGCACTTCTGCACTGGGCTGTGCTACTCTTCAGCAGCTGTAGAGTTCACTCTGTTAGATCCTCGTATTGACCTAGGCCCATATTTTTACATTTAATTTATAAATAATATTTGAATGGTGTTTTTAAAAATCTTACTGGACAGATTTTGGGCAACTGTAAAAATCAAAATAATTCCTATCAAGGATGTAACATCAAACTTTTAGACACATAAAGCAATACATAAAATCTTGAACAAGAATTTATTTCTGGAATACTTGCCCCAAAATTAATCCTGTTACTTTAATATAAATTCTCAGACTAAAATTTAGGGTTTTAAATGTTGGTGTTTAATTTTAGCAATATAAATTTTTTATAACATTTATGTATATTCCATGCAAAATTTTTTTGTATATTCATACCAAAAAGTTTAAGATTGCATTTAAAAATATATGTAGTACAAGATACAATTAAGTTTTAAAATGTTTGAGCAAGTCATTGTATTGGGCAAATGAGTATAGAGCCAGGAATGAAGTCAGAATACACGGTGTGCATTCAAATGTCTCTGTATTTTCTGAAAACAGGAAGCAAATTTGATGGTGTCTTTCTAGCAAGGCAGAAAACCTAACTACATTAGTCACAGTAGTTACGAGACAAAACATGTTAGTTGCTCAGAGGAAAACTATTTTTGGTATTGAAATCAAAGGAAAAAGGTTCCCATGATCTTTAAGAAGAGGTGGGCATGGTCACGCAGTGCCCCTCGGACTTGAGAAACATGTAGATCTTTCAAGGGGAACAGTTTTATTTCAAGCACAGGAATCCAAGGGTCCATAGACCCCAGTGAAAAACTCAAGTCTTTGTTCTTATTTGCAGATCTCCTGATTGTTTATGTAGAAAATTTAGAGTCTACAAAAAAAATTCTATATCTAATAAATGCGTTTAGCAAGATGGCAGAATACATGATTTACATACATGGATCAGTTAGTTATATTGCTATATACTAGCAGTGAACACATGGATACAAAAATGTTTAATTGCTTGAAAAAATGAAATACATGGGTGTAAATCTAACCTAAGATTTTTGTAAAACTTCAGCAGTATTTGTATGCTGAAAACTAAATATTGTTGATGAAAGAAATGATAGTATATATAAATAAATGGAGAGACACTATGCTCATGAAAAAAATCTCAAGTCAGAAAATGTTACTGTAAAATAGATATTTCATTTTTCTAAATATTAAAATATTATTTTATGAAAATGAAAATACAGAATGTAAACCTTCTCTGGAACTTGTGGGTTTCCGAATTTCTGCTTTTATTGAAAACTTGGACCTCATCTTATAAATAAAACAGTGCTACTGCCGGGTGCAGTGGCTTACGCCTTAATCCCAGCATTTTGGGAGGCAGAGGTGAAAGGATTGCTCGAGCCCAGGGGTTCGAGACCAGCCTGGGCAACTTGGCAAGACCTCATCTCTACAATAAATCAACAACAACAAAAAATAGCCAGGTGTGGTGGCACTCGCCTGTGGTTCCAGCTACTTGGAGGAAGGCTGAGGCGAAAGGATCACCTGAGCCCAGCAGGTTGAGACTGTGTTGGCTGTGAGCATGCCACTGCACTCCAGCCTGGGCAACAGAGTGAGATTCCTATTGAGAAATAAAAAATAAATAAAATAAAAGAATGCTGTGATGGAATGAAAAATATCCTCAGTAATTTTCATGGGTCTGTTTCTTATAATATGTCCTGGTGTAAGTTCATGGCACAAGGCCAGGGAATGATTCCATTTAAGGAACTCTGTAGAGCACATCAGGCCAGTTCTGTTTCTGTTCAGATTGCCCATCCTTCAGGCAGTTCTCCATCCGCGTTGTTTCCACGGAACCTTTTGTAAGTAACCAGCAACAGTGTGCTTAGCGTTCAGTCTTTCTGACAATTATCTGGAGCGCTTTTATTCTGCTTTACCTGTAAGTGGGGAATGGTGACAAACCAGCTGGTTCATGAGGTAGAAGTGACGCCCTCTCTTGACAGCTGAGTGACTTCAAAAGACCTCATGCCTACATAGGCCATTACCCTACATGGGGCTGAGTGCCAGGCTGGAATAACGCCCCCCTCCAGAAGATGAGGACCCCAGAATTCTGTATCATGGAGCCTGGCAGTTATTCCTTTAGGCCAGAAAAAGATGTAACACAATTAGTCAAATGCCTACCCTGGCAGTCTTTTAAAAAAACTCTTATTTCAGCCTATAACATATTATAAATGACTCATATGCCACCAAAGAAACTGGCTATGAAATGAATGCTGCATCATCTGAATAAGTTAGCTTGCTGTCTTGTATTGCTAGTCAAAAGAGAGTTAAATGTTAGTCAGCGGCTGGACTTAGACTAATAGTTTGGGAGTCTTTCTAAGTGCAAGGAATTAGCCCCGTATGTAGCTGCACAACAGACAGTTGTCTCTTAGCTGCGTCCACGAGTGGCAATAAAGCCATGTCATCTGCATCTGGTGCGGACGCACTTTTGTTCTCTGTGTTGGGGAAGGGAGGGCAGCCTTTTGCCAGCTCCCCCCAGGTGGGATCAACTCATTAAGGTGCAGCTTCAAAAGAAGATGATCAAAAACACATTTCTGTTTACAGTGGAAATTATCTGAGTCCCAAAAAGACAGCTCAGCGGTATAATTTGTGTACGAGGTCCAACAACTAACTTCACAAACTCATCCTAGAAAAAGTGCTCCATAGCCCACTGCCGAGTATCACTGTGGTCACCTTTGAAGTACTCTCTTGGGAAGCTCTGCACCAACGCCAATGCCTAGTCCGCTCATCACAGCAGTTTTGGAACTCTTTATCTGGAATGGCCATCAGAGCTGTCATCATACTACCCTTGGTTCCTAAATGTCATCAAATGTCTTTCTTTCAATATTTCCTTTATCTTCGGGTGAAGAAAAAAGTCATTTAGGGCCAGATCAGGTGAGCAGGAAGGTGTTCCAATACAGTTACTTTTACAATGCTGCCAACATAAGCGCATGGTAGCAAGTTCGCGAACTTCACTGTCAGACCTCAACAAATAACAACAGCTCTGATGGCCATTCCAGAAAAAGAGTTCCAGAATTGCTTTGATGGGTAGACGAGGCACTGGCATTGGTACACAGCTTCCCATGGTCACTTTGAAGGTGACCGTAGTGAGACTCAGCAATGAGGTATGTACTGCTTTTCCGAGGATGGTTTTTCCTATCATCGGACATCGTATGCCTAGGAGAGAATTTATATAAAATTAAAGTTATCTTTTGCTTGTAGATGATTTTTGCTTCCTACTTTATTCTGTGTTGTACTTTCTGACTTTTTACAGTGAGTATGTGCTATTATAATAAAAATACATTTAAACAATATTGGGAAGGGAGGGGGAGGAAAAAATAAATAAAACAATATTAAAGTTCGTCTCCTTTAATGTGAAAAGTGAGTATTTTTTTTACTAAGTAGATACAGTTTGATTTGAAATGAATTACTTTTTTTTCTTTTTTCTGCAGACAATGATGAATAATTCTCAGAACATTCTTTAATACTCAACTAAATGAAAGCACTTGAATTTGGCTCATTGGAATAATAAGCTTCAGTGGAATATACAGAAATTACTCATAAAAATCCCAGATTTAAGATGGATATGCTTATTGCATGAAAAAGACAGAGGAAGATGCCATTTTTCAATGAAGATTCTAGTATTTTATATATTTTATTTTGTTCCTTGAGGTCTGTAGTTAAGTCCTGTAGAATGTATACTCCATTAAACCATCCAACCAAAGCATAAGAAACGTTGACCCAGAACTCAGCTTAATGGCTTTGAAGATTCACTATGCAATAAGGTAACTGACTTTTAGCAAACGTCTTTAGGTCAGAGGAATTACCTGTGTCGTGGAAAACTTGCCTGTGGTTTTCCCTTTACGTCTTTAAGCATGACCTTGTTTTCTGCCTAGTGCTCATTTTCATCCTGGCCAGCAATTTTGCATTAAATAACCTTGCCAAGGGCTCTACTTAAATCTTTACATTTTGAAGATGGAATTTTTAGCCTTAAGGTTTATATTCTCAAGACCTCTTTCAGCCAGTGTGTCTCTTGAATTAGCTCAGTGGAAACAGTCTTAGAAATCATTGAAATATTTGATTATGAAAGAATAGCAAAATTCTGTTTCAAAAAAGTTGGTCTACTGCCTCTATTTCTCTTTAAGGACCAGAATCAGGAATATTATCTCTAAAAATTAGTCTGTGGTTCTCAACATTGATGTTGCATACAGCATAAAGTTGCCCTGATAGTTTTTAACCTCCCTTCACACATGTGCTCCAAGGATAATATAAGGTTAAAAAGGAAAAAGGACTCATTTTTATTTTGATTCTGTAACAGTTTTGGTAACGGGTTTTCTGAAAGACAATGTTTGCCTCTTGTTCTTTTTCCCATTGTGAGAGGGTGTCGTTAGGCCACTAAGATACTGGTTACATGGCTCAGTTGCAATATGCCAAGTATTATGGTTTTATCAGAGATGTCAACAGTCCAGATGTTTTTAGTAATAGAAGCAATATGTTTGAACCTCTGAGTACAAGGCAGCCCGATTGACATAATATGTCATATGAAAAATAAAATCTTATCTTGTGGCACTACCAAGTACTATGTTGAATTTATTATGTATGTTTTTTCTAACACCTAGAACTAAATATTTGACTTTTATATGTTTGTTTATTTTATGATATTACTATTAAATTTTTATTTTCTACCTGAAGTATGCCCCTGATTGTCTTTTATTTATTAGCACTTTTCTCAATAGGATGCTTTAACATAGAGTTGAGAATACCTTTGCTGGCTTTGTACGTAATGATTTTCTTTTCTTTTTCCCCTTAATGGAAGAAGATTTGAATTTCTGCACTTTAATTCTGTACAATCCTGAAAGATGGTAATGATTTAGGGGAGGTTATTTGTTAATTCTTCAACTATTACAACTATTAGAAAAACAAGAGTATGACACAATAGAAGTTGTCTCAGCCATATTTCAAAAGATGTCCTATATGCAGGAATAAGGATGGCAACTCAGATTTGAGCCATCTTCAGTCAGTAGGGAGTGGCACTGAAGTGGCACCAAGCCAGGTTGTCTGTGCTGGAGGGGCGAGGCCATTCTTGTTCATAAGGTCTGTGCCAGGTGTTAGAGGTGACATGTGGAAGCATCTGTAGAACCCAGACTGCTAGAACTAGAAAGGGCTATCGAATAATTTAGTCTTACCTTCACTTAACAGGCAAGGACATTGAGTTATAACATGAAATTACATCACTTGCATGAAGGGTCAGGGTCAGATCAGTTCCAGGGCCTTACACTGTTATTAGTTGTACATTCTTTCAAAATTTATCTCCTCCAGGCTGGGGCACGGTGGCTTACACCTGTAATCCCAGAACTTGGAAGGCCAAGGCAGGAGGATCGCTTGAGCCCAGGAGTTCAAGACCAACCTGGGCAACATAGTGAGACTTTATCTCTACAAAAAGTGAAAAAAATTAGCTGGGCATGGTGGCGCACACCTGTAGTCCCAGCTACTCAGGAGGCTGAGGCAAGAGATCACTTGAGCCCAGGAGTTGGAGGCTACAGTGAGCTATGATTATGTCACTGCACTCCAGCTCTGGCAACAGAGTGAGACCCTGAATAAAAAATATATATATTATCAAAAACAATGAAGTCAATAAGAAAAGGTACACTTGACACTAACGCACTGATAATTCTACAGCTGCTTCCTATTTCTAGGAGTAGCACCCTACTCCAATTAACCTTGCTGCTAAAAACAGTTTTTAAATGGTAAAGCTCTCCTAAGTTCACACATATTCTAACCCTTGTTACTTTGTTGTTGCTGGATCCGACACAATGTGTGTTTGATCCACACCGAAAAAATACGAGCTTCGGAGAAAGTTCGGCCGAGAAAGGCAGGTGGAATGCCGGAGGAGAAAAGCCGCTTTTCCCCAGGGGCGTCCGGCGTCTCGCCCCTCCGCGTGGCGGCTTCGTGTGGCAAAGGGACGGAGGCAAGACGGAGGGCCAGCCGGGGCTGGGGCGCCAGGCGAGTCCGTGGGGAGCCCTGAGCCGAGGCGGGACTCCCAGGCTGCGTCTCACGGTCGGAAGAACTGAAACCAAACTCAGCTCCAGACTCAGCCACTGTAAGAGAAAAGGACAAAACGTGTGGCAAATCGTGGCCACAGACCAGCCTTCGGAGGGTCCTATGCCTTGAGCACCAGCACCCGCATGGACTCAGGAACTTGAGATCTGAACACAGTCTGAGGCGGGCCCCAGCGTGTCATGCCCCCGGACAGAAGCCACTTTGTTACCTCTCTGGAAGGAGGCACATTTATTCTGCTTTGAAAAGCATGGCACATAACCGTCCAAGAGCAAGGATGGACGTGGAGTCGCAAATAAAATCGTACATGAGATGTCAAGACAGTTTAAGTGAGAGACAGCAGAAACAGGATCTGCACAGGCTTTAGATGTTAGAGTTCTGAGAGATGTATTATGAAAGAACTAGCCGGGTGCAGAAGCTGACACCTGTAATCCCGCTCTTTGGGAGGCATGGGCAAGAGAACTGCCTAGCCCAGGGGTTTGAGACCACCCTGGGCTACTTGGTGAGACCTCGTCTCTACAACAAATCAGAAAATTAGCAGGGCATGGTGGCGCGTGCCTGTGGTTCCTGCTACTTGGAAGGCTGAGGTGGAAGGATTACCTGAGCCCAGCAGGTCGAGGTTGTGGTGGCCCTGAGTGAGCCACTGCAGACCAGCCTGGGTGACAGAGTGAGACTCCACCTCAAAAAAATAAAAAGTAACTATGCTCATTGTTTTTAAACATGATCAACAGACTTGAAAATCTTAGCAGGGAAATAAAAACTAAATGATATAAATTGGAAGATGAACCAAATAGAATTTTTATATGTGAAAAACACAATAACCAACATTTTAGGACACACTGGACATGGTTGGCCACAAACCACATGGCAGAAGAGAAAATTAAAAAACTGGAAGGAATGATCCATGATGTAGCACAGAGAGAGAGAAAGATGGGGAGAGAGAGAAGAGATGTAGATGCATTGAGATCTGATGTGTCTGATTGGAGTTGCAGGCAAAAAGAAAGTAGGGTAAAGTTATGGGAAGAAATAGAGCCTGAGAGTTTTGCAGAACAATTGGAAGACATCACTTGACAGACTAAAGGAGCCCAGTGAATTTCAAGCCGAATAAAGTAAAAGAAGCGCACAACTAGTCTCTTCCAAGTGCAACTGAGAAAATCAAAGACAAAAAAAATCTTCAGCCGAAGATTAAAAGGCATACTATTTTCAAAGGAATGCCAACGACCGACAGTTGGCTTCTCCACTGTAGTATGAAACAGTGGAACGGTTCCTTCCTGGGGTAGAAAGAAGGTAACTTGTTCAGGGTTACAGTCGACTGTTGAGCAACACGGGTTTGAATTGCCTGGGCCCACTTACACGTGGGTTTTCTTCTGCCTTCTGCATCCCTGAGACAGCAAGACCAAGCCTTCCTCCTCCAGCCTATTCGTCGTGAAGGCGAAGAGGAGGAAGACCTTTATGATAACCCACGCCACTTAATAAGTGGTCAATATATTTTCTGTCACTTGTGATCTTCTTAATGTTTCCTTTTCTCTAGCTCACTTTATTGTAAGAATGCAGTATATAATATGCGTAACATGCAACATGTGTTAATACAGTATGACCACTATCACATAGCATTTACATTTTTTTTTTTTGAGTTGGGGTCTCACACCGTCACCCAGGCTAGAGTGCAGTGGCACACTCACGGCCACCCCTGCGTCGACCTGCTGGACTCGCAATCCTTCCGCCTCAACCTTCCAAGGAACCGGAACTGCAGGCGCATGCTACCACACCCAGCTAAATTTTTTGTATTTATTGTAGAGACAAGGTCTCGGCAAGTTGCCTGGACTGGTCTCGAACCCATGGGCTCAGCCTCCCAAAGTGCCGGGATGACAGGCTGAGCCGCCAAGCCCGGCCAGCATTTACGTTGTATTAGGCATTGTCAGTAGTCTAGAAATGATTTAAAGTGTACAAGTGGAAGTGCGTAGGTTATATGCAAGTACTACACTGTAACCATAAGGCGTCCAATCAACAGGAGGCCATCAGGAAAGTTGTTGGAGGAGTCAGAAGCTATCCATGGATTTTGGACTGCGTGGAGGATCAGCACCCAAACAGCCACACTGTCATCGGTAGGTACTTAGCAAAAATACTTTGGGGGGGGCGTGGAATCTCACTCTGTCACCCAGGCTGGAG